TCAAATGTCGGGGGCGCTCAAGTGTCGGACGCTCAAATGTCGGTCGCTCAAACGTCGGTCGCTCAAATGTGGGTCGCTCAAATGTCGGGGGCGCTCAAGTGTCGGACGCTCAAATGTCGGACACTCAAATGTCGGGCGCTCAAACGTCGGTTGACGGGAAATTACAAAGTTGTGGAATACAGAAATATCCTGCACCCATAGTTTGACTTTTATTTACAAACAACAAGTATTATTCTTTTTCTCCATTCATCAGTTTTTCTAAAACATTTTACGTTGCCCCATTTTTTCCAGTAACTACTATCAAACGTGTCTGAAAGTATATTATAATTGCTTTTTATATGATCATGAGTAATTTTTATGATGAAATTTAATTTTTCCAAATATTTTAAATGTGATAATGTTTGTTCTAATTTTCCACCATTAATATTATCACTAAAATTCCTGTATATTATTTGTCTACTGTCGTGTTCAAATGATAAGGATTTTAAATGAATAAGATTTTTAATTATATTGTCAAGTTTATCATACTCTATATTATCGGATGTGGCTAATATAAATTCGGTTAAAAATGGTAATTTATACTTTAATAATGTATAGTCATAACTTTGAAATCTAAATAAATAAAAAGTATGGCATTTATCAAAGTAATTTAATCCGCTCTCGATTGTAAACTCATCTTTACTTTTCATAATTCAATGTTAAAAATCTGTATTCTTCAGAAAATAAAAAAAAGGATCTTTATTTGTCCCCTATAGAGATCACGTATGTGGTTTCTGAAGCTTTGTAATACAAGACTCTTCATTTTTCTGAAGAACAAGACTATCGTTCTACAAGTTTTTTGATCTTTCTAGGGTACAATTGTTCTTCAGACAACTCATTTTTTAGGTAACTACTGCAAATCTGACGAACAAGTTAATGCTCTCTGAAGAACAAAAAATGAAGCACCCTTTTTCAATGATAATCGTTTTGTTTATGTTTGTTTCAGACATTTCTCGCTGAAAAAGTAATTTTTTTTAAAGAAAAATATTTTTTTTTGAAAATTTTTCTTATTGTTCTTCGTCGGTAATTTAGAACCTATTTTTTAAGTTTAGATAGCGATCTGCCTGACCGAAAGTCTAATCTATCTCCTGTAAAACTAGAAAATAATCTTGAAAATCATGCGGAATGTACACAATGTTGAAGACCTCAAACATCTCTCATTTCGATAGAATGTTTCAATTGGTGACTGGACAGAAGAATACAAGTAACGTAAAGAACAAGAATGATAGGTTTCTGAAGAACTTTTTTAAGTTTTTCAGCAAGTTCTCTAAAGAACGGAATAACAAAGATTTTTAATAGTGTGAAAGAACGTTCAAATTTCCAAAGATTTTCCTCTGTAACTCGTCGAGATACATACCCCGACTATAGTTACACAAAAAATCTGACGATTACTGTCAGCCAGTCTGTAGTTAAATAAAAATCTTGAGAAACAATCGGTAATAATTTGTTTTTGTCACCAGTATTTCAAAAGTATCGCCGCTATTTTAGACATGGAGCGTTTTCATATGGAAAAAGCAAGATTTTTGATGGAATGAGATTTTAGCTACCTGTACTTACTGTGACGGACTAATATGACCAGTGTACTCCTTGTGAACTTTGATATTCAAATATTTCAATGATGGAAAATGATCAAATATAAGATGAAGATCATTTATACATTTAACTGATGATATTGTTAAATATCGAATATAAAGACATTGGTCACTACCAAATGGATTCAGATGATATCGATAATGAAATGGTTTTGAGTAGATATGTATTTTTTCTAATTTCTCATTTTTGTTGTTAAATATATTTTTTCCTATAAAGCAACGATATTGATATGTTAATATTTCACATGCAATTGTGGTTGTTATTGAAACTAATTGTTGATTAAATGTGTCAAGCACAACAGATAGATCATTCGTAGTAATGTCAATTAAATGAATATGACCGATATTTGGAGTACAATTGATGACAGATAATTGTTTACCTAACGAGAAACAAATAAACAATGCGACTACATCGGTTTCTTATTTTTAACAGCCAACTGTCTGAGAAAAGTGACATGAACAGGGAAAGTTGATATCGCAGATCGAGCTGAAATTTTCTACATTTCTAATACATGCCCCTCTGTTAAAGCTAACTCCCTTCCTAAAACTCCTGTCAAAAACGTCCTGACAATACTAGAACAAAGAAACTTGAAAAGCGAAGAGTTCGCATCTTACCATATATAGAAGTTAATACAAATGCTGTCAAATTAATCCTTCTCAAATAGCGGCGACATTTTTCATATACCAGATTACTTAACTTGTGATTAATATTGAAAAATGTAGATTGCAATCTCCAGAATCGTTCACAGGTGCAGATGAACAAGATCCAATTATATGGTTACAAGATATTGAACAAATGTTTGAAGCTGCTAGTGTAAGATCTGAGGATCGCGAAAATTATTATCAATGTATTTTCTGCGTGATGCCAAGAAATGGTATCAAGGTGGTATATTTGATAATAACTATGATGGATTCAAACAACAACTGATTAAGGCATTTACATCAGCCTCACAGCAGCTCAAAATATCAAATAAATTAGTGAATCGACGTCCAGGATTGCACGGATCAGTTCAATCATATTATTATGATGTACTATCTTTATGTACAAGACTTAATCCAGATATGAGTGAAAATGAAAAAGTCCTGGATTTATTACGCGGATTAAAACCGACAATTGTCCAAAACGTCATGATGTTCACGCAGAAAAGTGTGCTGATTTGTTAGAACAAGCGAAACGCGTGGAAGCTGCAACATCTTTCACTCAATCAACATCAACTGCTGCAATAACAGATTTGCAAGCAAAAATGGTTTACTGTGAAAACCTAAGTTCTCTAAATATCCTTTCGAGATGCCAAACTTTTGAGATCAGATTCGAATAGTCCATTAGGGTCTACCGTTCGATTAGAATATACTTCCATACTGCTGGGATAGTCTTTACGTCAAAGATCCTATGCATGCAACCGGCGATATTTCAAAAATAATTTCCTACCTAGGAGCAGAGCTAGGTAACTGAAACTCAGAAAGTAAAAGTCGTAGAAGGCTTAAACACATAGTTAGCTTAAACAGATCGAAAACCGTGGTACCTAGCTCCAACCGCCCGATCAGCGCTTTCGATTAGGAGGTGGAAATCGCTCCCCGTTTCGATAAAGCAAATCAAAATATTTTGATTTACTCAGAAATTTTTTAAGAAATTTACGTCGAGAAACTGCCTTTTATGCACCTGAGTGGTGATTTTCTCCAGCTTTTGAGTAATTCATTTATTTGCTGAGAAACTGGTTCTTATGCATCTGAGTAAGTGATTTTTAGGTACTTTGATGTTTTAAACTGATTGAGAACTGACAGTCTTCAACTACCTTAAAACATGCAGTTACTCAAGAAAAAACTTTAGTTATTTAGCAGGCTCTCTACCCCCCACGAAAACTTCTATCGAAAAGGCTGCGCCCAATTCTAGCTCCATTTTTTTCTGCCGGCTAGTATGTCATTCAGGATTTTATTCTTAGTGCACGCTTTCCTCGAAAAAAATCGAAAAATAGTAAGGCTCCGTTTTTTCGAAAAATTCGACACCATTCGAACCGCCTTAAACGGAGAACAATATTATCCAAATAAAAAAATTGTTCTTTCCTCTCTTCCTTCCACTTTTATTTGAAAGAACGGTGGTAACGGCCAAGTGGTTTACTACTAACTCTCTCCTATGATCAACGTTTCTCAGTTAGCCACTACGATAGACATACCATTCGATAGAGAGTTTCACGAGCTTCAAGATGAGCTAGCTATAAATAAGTCTTTCAAAAATATGCCTACATGGTCAATAGTTGAAATACTTAGCCGACATAATGATTTTCATCTATCTTTTCACGCAATTTTTTTAACTATGATATTTGTGATCAGCGTAAAATTCTGCGTCGAATGAGGTGTATTTGAGACAAAAATAACGTCTTGCTCGATCTTTGAATTAGCCTTAGCTCTTCTCAATGCCTTCATGAAATGTTTCATATAGATGGAACAAGGATTCGGAACATCCATCGAAGAAATGCATGGAGAAAAAGAAAGTACAATTGTTTGTACCTGAACTGATTTCAAAGGCACCAAACTCTAAAGATTTGTAGAAGGTAAAACTAAGATTGCTTGAAAAGTACTCGGGTCCAAAATTTCGGAAAACCCTTTAGTTTCAAAAACGGCTTAACTTTTTTTCTTTCTCGTGCTTCTAAGTTTTTGACAGCAACTTTTTCAGATTCAGCATTAAAAACTGAGTATGAGAGTGATGCTTAGTATGAGAGTGATGCTTAATCGAGATTGAACTAGGTCTATCACGCATGGACGTCTAAGACTCCCCTATAAAAAGTTCATAAACAATTTTGCTAATCCATCTAATTTTATGAAGAGATGAAGCCGACCTTAATACTTCATTAGAACCGCCATTACACGAGCTTTAAAAATATGGATCGCTTTTTCTTTCCATTTTGTTTTGTCACTAAGAAAATTTATATTTTCTGAATCGAGAGCGCAAAAATCGAATTCTGCGCGTAATTTCCAGTTTCCTTCATCAGGCCTCAAGTCTTTTGCGTCACGACCTGAAACAAATGTTGTACTTTGTATTCTATTCGACTACTTTGAGTTCTTTTGAATTTTCACGCTGACAAACCTTTTTAATTGACTATGAATTCATACATTGTAAAAAACCAGTTGACAAGTAACACGAATATATCTCCAGGTAGCGAAACGTTCCACAGCACTTTCGCTACACTTTATAATGCGTTAATTGCCGTTATGTTAGTAGTGTAACGAAAGTTCTTTTTGGGTTATGTTATGACAAAAGTTCGCGATGGGGTGTGACGATAGTTGTAGATATGTTACACAGTCAGTTACGAAAGTTCATCACACTTATGACCAAAGTGTGGGGTAGTACTACACCAAAAATGCCATACATTTTCGTCATGTGTGACGACAGTTCTTTTTTCTATGTAACGACAGTTAACATAACGAAAGTGCTATCATCCAGCGAGACACCCTATCTATCAACACATTAAATTTTCATGTAACGCTTGACTGAGTTTCTCCTTTCATTGCAAATAAACTGTGTATAATCACACACACATTGCTTCAGCTTCCGCAGCATAGGAAACAAGTATGGCAACTACACGCGTTTTTGATGTTTATAACGAGCCAAAAAAATGCTGCTATTCATTGATGAATATCAAAATCTACCATTAATGTGACTGGAAAATTAATCGAGAAAAAAATTTAATTCCTTAGAACTCACAAAGTTACCAGTAACCGGTGACGCTGGTTCCGAATATGACAATGGGTTCTGCCATTAAGACTTTGGAGACTAATTTCTTCAAAAAACCAGATCACCGAAAACAAAACGTTTTTGCAGACCTCGTTCTCAAGACGTTGCTATCCAAAGGCATAATGGCAGAACCCATTGTCATATTCGGAATCAGCAGCACCAATGCAGAAATATACTTCAAGTATGTTGAAATCCTTTTATTCAACCGACTGCGTTCATACTAATCCAGCTTGATTGATTGAAAAACTTGAATTTGGTATTTCATGAAAAGATTCATATCTATTTTCATTTGTAGAGAGATTGCATTTTTACTGTAGATTAAAAAATGGCTACAAATCAGTCTGAATTTGCTGAAATATACCAATACGCCAAAAGTAACATAAATCATGATGCAATCTATCGAGCAATTTTATACAATTCGTCTTTCCTAACGACGATACCACCGAATGAAACATTATCCATTTTACATCATATTGTAAGTCATGGCAATTTAGACTTGTTTAGTAGTGTAATTGCTATTCCACACTTAAAATTTATTCTATTAGCCAAAAGTACAGGAAAACCATCAAAAGATATCCTCGAAATTTCATATGAAAATATAAAAAAAAGTCCACAGCATAAAGCGCTATTTAAAAGAATAAAAGAATTAAATGAACTTGATACATTTATTGAATATGCAAAACACAATCAACGTGAAAAATGGAAACAAATGTTAAATGGAACGGATACTGATTTAGTTAATATGAAACCACCTTATAGAAAATATTATTTAATACATCATCTAGCTTACACCAATAACCGTCATGATTTTGATGAGCTAAGAAATGTGGCTGGTTGTCATATTAACATGTTACTATTAACTAATGATGGTAAAACAGCAGCTGAAGTAGCATTTGAGAATCATCATAAAGATTTTGGAAATTATTTAGAATCACTCTCACCGGAAATGAGAAACATACGTGAAAAACATCAAGCAATGAGCCGATATACAATAATACCAGAGAAACACGAAACTTATGTTGAAGGACAATTAAAGTCATTGCAATCACCAAATAATATGTTGTCATGTTTTACATGTCCATTAACAAAGGAATTATTTATTGATCCCGTCGTTTGTGCCGATGGATTTACATATGAACGAACAGAGATTCAACGATGGTTAAATGGTGGTCAGACTAGATCGCCAATGACCAATATGGAGTTATCCAACACGAATTTAGTACCGAATCTTGTCCTAAAATCAGCATTGGACGAATTGAGAGCGAAAGCACACGAAAAATGAAATTTTTCTGAGGTTACCATCTTGTAATGCTTACTAAAGTACCTTTGTTTATACATTTATTTATACAGTGCTACCCAATTGCGTCTTTGGCTACAGGATTTGTAAGATTTCAGAATATCATCTTTTATTCGAAAATACTAATAATTTCTGACCCCAGATGGTGAATACTTTCTGTTTTTACGAAAACAGTGATCCTTCCCCATCTGCGATGTGGATGTAAAACGTTTATCTGTAATAGTTACTGAAAGACAACTGTTTTACAAATGTCAATCGCGCTTAATTTCTGAGGTCCTTCAAAACTATCAACAATTTAATACTATTTTCACTGATGTTTCTACTTATTTACTTTTTGTACGATTAGATAGCAAAGATTTTTCTCGAATAATCCTGGCAGTCTTTGAGATCCAGCAAAACTATATTTTTGTGGGACGTTCCAAATCTAAGTTGTACTAAATAAATATATGATGTTTTCTATTGAAGTTTTTTTCTTTTTAATCGTTGTTTGCTATCCGAGGTTAATGTGTCACGGGATGCGGGATCACTCATACATTCTCTCTATATATTAAATGTTATCATGCAAGTAAAGTTTATCAATATAAACATAACTTAGAATGCAATTCAATTGCACTGTATAAAAAACGTATGTTGCTGGAGTGAGGATTCCTTAATCTCACTGAGGAATCTAAGGAATATTATTCCTAATAAACTATCGATTTATTACATGAAAGTGCGTCTTTTACGCAAAAACGCATCTTCATCGGTTTATGATCTTTCCTGTTACGGAACTATTTTAGACTTGTGTGATACCCAACTGTTATTTATATCGTTCTCACAGAAAAATGGCAGCTAAATCTAATATTGTTCAGAAGTATAGGGATTAATACAGCAGCTGATTTTAATCTCATTCTTTCTTTATTTATGATTCCAGTCAATATCTCTTCTTATGTACGATTCTATCTCTTGAAAATGACAAAATCTTTATCGTAACATTGAGAAAATAAAGAATCAGATTAAATTTAGTGACTCTATACATATGAAAGTTTTTGGCCTTGAATTCTTATAATATTACTCAATTATTTCTGTAAGCTGATTGCCTCTCGTCTTGCTATATATTCAATGTTAGCTCACTTATCGCAGCATCTTAAATAGTTTTAAATCTCGTTAACATTCTTCCACTAACTTATTCTATTATCTGGCAAGAATGAACAATGTGATAATGCTAATACTTTGATTGTCCTTGAACGATAAATTTACAAGACACTATTTGTTCAAGTGTTTTTATAGTATGTTTTCTTAATGTAAATTTACAGGTAATGAGTTTGTGTGGCTATCAAAATTTAACAAATAGTCATGTTTCATCCACTATTTATGGTTAAATATGTTTCTGCAATCAATTTCGTATTTCATTCAATTGCCGATGAACAAGTTCGCTTAACCATGGTTATATTTAGAAAACACAAGGAAAACGTGAACGTGGGAAAAAGGTTCAAGATGGTATCTCTAAAAATAATCATAGCTTGTTGTTCTTGTTCAGTTCGTCAGAATAACTGCTCCCCCCATACACGGATCACACTATTAGAGGCATCGTTAATAAATACACACAAGCGAAGAAAAAGCCATGCGTGTTTTTCTTCGTAGCTTTACATTTATATAAAACTAAAGCAAATTCTGAAGAAAGGTAAGGTAATTTTCATCACAAATAGCACGCTCATGTAACAAAACACCAAATATTTTCTTCAGTTCTGTGTCACGCGACGACACTCGCGTAGAAAGAAGAAATAAAACCACCAGTGATACAATAAAATAAGTAAAAAATAATTGCTGAAAGACGAATAGTGATTGCGAGTGCTTTATAAAGTAAAGCTGAAACACACAGAGAGCTCATTAATGCTGACGGTTAACTGTCTTTGCAATTCATTGATCAGTAAGCATCTGATGTATCTAAAGATTGCCGAGTGTAAAATGAGCTTTTGATTGTCTTGATCAGCCATTTTCAAACAACGGTATGTGGTTCTAGATTTATGTCTGATTTGTGAAGAAGCACACGAAGCATGAAGATGGATCAATCATTATTAGAATCGACACCTGTTCCACATTAGATGCATGACTGAAGCCAACAAGAATTGGAATTTTGAAGAGTCAAAATTTTCCAGAATATGCCACTTTCGACCCTTCGAACAGAATTTCCCTAACAGTTCGAAGGTGACATGAAGAAGAGAAAAAAATTTACTCGGAAACTAAATATAAAAAGTCGAAAACTTGGCAAAATTTTTCCTTTCTCTAAAATGTGACCTTCGAATTGTTAGCGAAATTCTGTTCGAAGGGTCGAAAGTGGCATGTTCTTGAAAATTTTGACTCTTCAAAATCCTAATTCTCCAACTCCGCCAAGGTCAACCCTACCAAAAATATCCTCAACTCCGGAGTTCGAGTTGCCCAGCCCTGTGTTTGAAAAGGTTGAATTTCGCCAACGAAAAGCATTAAAAATGTCCTGCTTTCACCCTAAATAGGTATTTGGTATCTTGTAATACCCTTCTGAGTATTTTGAAAAAATCTTCCGTATCTTGCAGAACCAAAAGGGTATTTTAAGAATGAAAATACCCTTTTGGCATCCTACAAAACCAGTTTTGGTATTCTGGAATACCGATCGTTCGTAACTTACTAAACCCTTTTTGGTGTCCTAATGGAAATGAAATACACTCTAAGGGTATTCTCAAAGGTGCAATACCCTTTTTCAAATGAAAACCTTTTGGTTTCCTAGAGTACCGTTTAGTAGCGGTGGGGATATCCATTTCGGTTTTTGCATCTTACACAAACCAAAGTCAGTTTTGTGGACAGAACGAAATACCCTTTTGGTTTTTTAAAATACGTTTTTTTTTTAGAGTGTGGTTATAATTACTCTATTTGGGATAAAAATAACCATCACAGCAAAAACGGCTGGGATAATGTAAATCAATTTTGATTCAACGGTGAACTTGTACCTTTTCAATTAAAAAATTAGTCTGTCTTGTAGAGAATTTCGAGCTTTAGCCGCCTTATGAATTGCCAGTCAATCAGCCTTACCATTAATTACTTAATGAGAAATTAGTGAAATTAAAAGACAGTCATTTTTCTCGATATACACGAACTGGGGTAATTATAGCCACACTGCTATTTTTCATAGGGTAATTATAACCACGCCATGCAAATCACACGGAATAAACGGAAAAAGCTTTCCATAGGTTTCTAAAGACCGATTTCCATACCAGTCATATGACAGAAGATGTTCCGAAGACCGTTATACATTATTACACGTGAAAATCGGAAGGAAAAAAATGTTTTGATCGTCTATTTGTGTAAAAAGTCATACTTGTCAGTTTTCAAAAACTTTTTCCACAATATTATTTGGTAATTAAGGTGGAAGCTTAGTTAGCAGTGATAGCGAGCAAGAGTTGAGCTATTCATGAACATTAGAGCATTCTTTGTCCGATGCACCTTTTCTTTTTCTAAAAGAACAGGCTTAAAATCTGATTTCCAAATGTGATTGTTATCGGTTGTTATTTGAAATATAAAATGGGAACCGATCATAATCACATTTGGAAATCAGATTTTAAGCGTATATAATTATATAATTATACATGCATGATTCATTATAAATGTTCATTAATAAAAACAAGCTTATGATATAGTACATATTTAACGATTTTGATGTACGAAAGCAGATCTTTTTTCAGGCATATTTAACTCATAGTAGATACAGTCAGAAGCGTAGATGCTATAAGTACTGAGTGTATTAACCTATTTCAGTCACTTTTTACTCAAAAATTTCTGTAACTTTCTTCCGATCGAAAGAAATCAGCTTGCATTTTTCCACTTTTATCCTCAAGCAACTTTTCTACTTATTTCGATAGACTTTCAATCTTCTCAAGAAAAGCAGAATGTGAAAGTGTGAGGGAAAGTTTCAACGCTTGGTTTTTTGCATGAATCAAACACCAATCCGTTGGTCACAACTTGAAGGTTTAAATGCACTTCAGAGTCACTTCAACTGATTCATTTTTACGTAGATTCAAAATGTTGTCTTGATTTTGGCATTAAATTTTGCGTTTATGACGAATTTCAGCTAATACCATTGAGATCCGTCTCGTTCTTTAATATTTTTCAAACTATTTTAGAAAAACGTTATAGAGCGCAGTTCGCGTCGATTTACACCATTACTGACCTGGCTCAAATCAGGTAAGTCGAACAACGTTTTAAGTTGTCATTTTCCCTTGAATTTTTTGTTTAACTATCCCAGTCTCTAGCTTTTTAACCGTAAATATTGAGTCTTTTCAGTACGTAGCAGTCGTGCAGACTCGATATTTACGTTAATTTTTCTGTATGCTGATCATTTCTGTCTTCAATTTTCCCGTGCTGAAGTTTCTGGTTGCCTCCCAAAATTTTCCAGAGTAGATTGAGCCACATATACTTGGCGTCTTTTTCATGAATGTTGATTTTTTGCTGACTTGTTAAGCATTATTAAGTAAAATTAAAATCCTCACGACTGCTTCGTTTGTGAAAGAAATTCCTGTATCCTATAGAAACATGGGAACAACGTTGTTGCAGAGTTATTCTGTAGACAACATGCTTTTTGAGAATAGTGCAGCCAGATAGAGCAAAGAATTTCGTTTCGATTTAACGTTTAAACTACCAAGTTGAACAGCAAAGGAAATAGAAAAAATGATTACTGACCTCGTATAGAGTTCACGTAGTTTGATTAAAAGGTGTCGTAGAAAGGTCGAAGACGTCTCACGAACTATTTACTCTATCTGGCTGCACTATTCTCAAGCAACATGCGCTTGGGCTAGACGACCTCAAAATAAACGCTTTGTTTCTCTAGAAACCCTACTTGTGCTAGAGATATAGTTTTCTCAATATGCTGCCTAAAAAGAGCTTGCCTGCAAACTCTTGCATTCCAAATAGCAACTTAATTGGTCAGATCATCCCTATTTAAGCCTAGAACAACTTTTTCATGCAGCATACCTATT